TTTTGACATTTTTTATACAGAAGAGAAACAAACTCGTGATTGATCGGTAAAAATCCGACTGGGCGAGTATAAATAACTCGAAGACAAACTCGTGATTGATCGGTAAAAATCTGACTAGGCGAGTATAAATAACTCGAAGACAAACTCGTGATTGATCGGTAAAAATCCGACTGGGCGAGTACAAATAACCCGAGTATAAATGACTCGTGATTTTCTCACTCATTATTGAGATCGACATGGTGTCAAGGCATCTGGCCGATCACCTCATTCGTTCCGAAGACTAGCAAGTTGGTCGATTACTGGGATTGGTATTTGACCGACCCCTTCGCCTAAAAAGTTTAGTCAAAAGTTGGGGTACTCGGAATTTGCGCGACAGAAATCTCTTGGTAACTTGAATTTATTTTCCCTCATTCCGGATTAAGTCAAATCTCAGGCGACATTATGGGCTAGTTTTAACCTAGAGTTGTTATACTTAGTTAAAGGGATCGACATTTCGACGAGTTCATGTCTTCATATAGACTAACTTGTATTAAGATCGGCTTATGGACGACTACTAAGTCGGATTTAGACGATCTCACTATTCACCAAAAGGGTTTTCACTAGAATTATCTTTTAGTTCTATCAATCGGCATTTCGACGAGTTAATGTCTTTATACAAACTTAAACGTTTAACTTATTTCATTTTGCAAAACCAAGTTTTAACTTAGAAAAAATCTCATTTTTACTCTAGTCGGAATTTGGCCGATTAGTTTTGCAAAATCAAGTTTTAACTTAAAAAAAATCTCATTTTATCGTACTCGGAATTTGGCCGATTAGTTTTGCAAAATCAAGTTTTAACTTAGAAAAAATCTCATTTTATCGTACTCGGAATTTGGCCGATTGGTTTTGCAAAATCAAGTTTTAACTTAGAAAAAAATCTCATTTTTATCGTAGTCGGAATTTGGCCGATTGGTTTTGTTTTACTCTAGTCGGAATTATGCCGATTAGTCTTGCAAAAATGAAGTTTAACTTAGAAAAAATATCATTTTTATCGTACTCGGAATTTGGCCGATTAGTTTTGTTTTACTCTAGTCGGAATTTGGCCGATTAGTTTTGCAAAACCAAGTTTTAACTTAGAAAAAAATCTCATTTTTATCTTAGTCGGAATTTTGCCGATTAGTCTTGCAAAATCAAGTTTAACTTAGAAAAAATCTCATTTTTACTCTAGTCGGAATTTGGCCGATTAGTTTCGCAAAATCAAGTCTTAAGTTAGAAAAAAAAATCTCATTTTTATCCTAGTCGGAATTTTTCCGATTAGTCTTGCAAAATCAAGTTTAACTTAGAAAAAATCTCAATTTTATCGTAGTCGGAATTTGGCCGATTCGTTCTGCAAAAACCAAGCTTTAACTTAGAAAAAATCTCATTTTTATTATAGTCGGAATTTGGCCGATTAGTTTTGCAAAACCAAGTTTTAACTTAGAAAAAATCTCATTTTTACTCTAGTCAGAATTTGGACGACAACAACAAGCCAAAATGAAGACAAAAGAAGACATACTTCATGAACGTCACAAAATAGTATGAACAAAGTTTACAACGAAGAAACAAACAATAGTTAAAATCGCAGAAAGGAATGCATAGCTCCTAAAACAAATTCAGTCATCTTCAGGGGGATCCACAAGCTCGCCATCTATGATTTCTTTGAAATAGCCGACCCTGCCAAGATCGATATTGGCATGGAGAAATTTCACTTGAGAAGTGGCAGCGTCAAAGCCTTGCGTGAACTTCTTCAGCGAATCCATCTTGGCAACATAGAGATCGGAGTGCAACTTCTCAATCTCTGCCTTCATCGTTGCCACGTCACTCTCAAAGACTTGAGCCGCATCAGCATTTTTGTCTCGCGCTAGGCGAGCTTCTTCAAGATCCCTCTCCATCACCGACTTCTCGGTCGCCTAGGCTTTCTGTTCGTCCTCATATGCACGTCGGCCCTCTAGCAACTTATCCCGCTCGTTGGCGATCCACTTTAAATCAGCCTTACCTTTATTAACACTCTCTTAAAGGGTGTTGATCTTCTTCCCTTGCAGCTTGATTTCCCTGGCCATACGACGAATTTTGTCCTCCTTAATGAGGGACAAGGTCGAGAGGCGATTCGTTAAAGACTCCACACCTTTGGCAATAGAAAAGGCGCTCATCTTCTCCAAGTTGCCCTTGTCCCCTTCCAGCAGGTCGGTCTAACGGGTGTGGGAGGAATGGTTGAATTTCTCATCCCAAAAAGATAGGACTCTCCCCTGCTCATTCCCATGATCCATGGGCTCCCAATTCTCGGCTATGCACATGCTAATGGTTCGTTCCGCCGATTGAACCTCTAGTTCCTTCTCTGCCTCATCTCCCCCGATCTCGGTTTCCAAGTTCACGAAGGTAACAGGTGCCTCGGACTCCTGACGGCGCTTATGGGAGGTCTCGCCGACCACATCCTTTGAGAGAGAGACGCCAACATCTCTTGCCTTTTCACCGACCACAGCAGCTCTGACCTCTTTAGAGGCCTCTTGCAATTTCCAAAGTTTCCTCAGTTCCCGATTGCTCATGCTGGCCATATTCTCTGCATCAAGATACACATTAGTGAAAAACGAATATAAACAGTGTGAATTAAACAATTTATAAGGTGATAGGCGAGGGACCGAATACCTATATAGACTCTCAATTCATTAGGCCTATTTTCTTAGTCGAAGAGTTTGATAGTGTTGAAAATAGTTTTGAGATCCTCGAGTTTTTTAATCTCCTCTTGATCTATCACGGAAAATTTCTCGGCTGGGAGTCCACCGTAAGTCACTGTTTGTTGACTCCAATATAAAGGGTATCTTTCAAGTGCGCTCTCATTACCCGGGGTACAACGCACTCAGAAATAAGACTTTTTAAAGTCCTTATAGGATGATTGAAATAACGTTAGGATTCCCCGACCAGTAACCCCATGGACCGAGACCCAACTACTGCGTTTGCTTGCACGACTCTCAAAGAAGTAAAAGAATTTCTCAGAGGTCGGAATCATGCCTAAACCTTTACACAAAACCTCAAACCCACGCACAAAGGCCCAACTATTTGGGTGAAGCTGAGTAGGGGCCACATTCAACGATTGAAGTACCCCTTTCTCGCAATCGGTCAAGGGCCACCTCACTTTCAGTTTGGAAATTAAAGTAGCATAGCAAAAGGTGAAACGCTCGCTAGGACCCCCCTAATACACACAGGCTCGTGGTCTACGCAAGGCTCACAAACGATAATATTATCTTCACCGCAAACTACATGTTCCATACAAAAGCTATCCATGGCGGCCCAAGAACTTATGGAAGACTCACAGCGGAGCACATCGTCCCTAGCCCACTTATAGGTTTCTCCATAATTTACTAACGCCATTTTAGCAAATATTTCTAACTTAAAGGGGAAGCAAAATTTCTTTATAAACAGAAAGGGCCAAATGGTTCAGATGGGCGTACCTAAAGCCAAAAAATAACCTTTCCCCACTCAACAAAGGCTACCGGAACGTCGTAGACCGCCACGAACCGCCGGAGTATACAGAAGGACAAAAACGCACCAATGGGACAAGACGCCAAAGGAGAGGAAAGGGAAAAAGCAAACGTCTTACACTCCTGGCATGCCTATATTTATAGGCAGTAAGAAGTGCATATGAGAAGCCACACCAAAACGTTGCGTCTCGAGAGAAAGAGTGCATTAAAAGCCAAGCAGCGCGCGCGTGGAACGTTACACCTTCTGACATTAAAAGACCCTGGGATTAACCCCCTCCATACGTTTATGACACGTGGAGGAGGGGTCATTTAATGCCCCGACATGGCGGCGTGGTAATAAATGCCCCCCCCCCCCACTTTTTTCAAGAAAGGGAAAAAACAACGTACTAGGGGGACCCAGAAGGAAGGATTGCTAGGGTTCAAAGCTCCCCCTCTGAAATGATTAATCAAACGTACCCTCCCAGACGAAGCGAGCTCGGTAGGAATCCATCCATTTAGGAATATGTCTGACACATATTTCGATCGATTCCCGAGATACCTCAAAGGAGCAGGCACTTTAGCCCTTTTGCCTTATGGACGCAGGGCTGAAGGGCATGTGGACCGTCCAGGTCGGGATCCGACCTGACCTCTCGGTCAATGCCCGAGATACCTCATAAGAGTAGGCACTTTAGCCCTTTTACCTTATAGGCTCAGGGTTGAAGGGCATGTGGACTGTCCAGGTCGGGATCCGACCTGACCTATCTACCTGTGACAGGCCGAGTATGACCTCGGCCGACCTCATTAAGGGCCACCCGGTCCTTACCCGACTTGGCCCGTCACCATAGGGGTGGTCGTCCCAATCCCGATCGCTCTGGTCAGGGGAGGCGCTCTCGGTCATCACACGACCCGACCCCCTCAGTCTGGTTCTAGTCAGTCGTATTCTGATCCGAAGTTTCCATGACGCTCCCCGAATAAAAGCAGTTAAGGAAATCCCTACGTTCTCGGGGCCCATAAGGCCCATGGAAAAGAAAGTATAAAGCCTAAAACCCTAAGGCTAAGAAGGCAGATTACACTTTTGAATGCTCTGGCTTTGAGTCTTGACCTAGGAAAAAACCCTAGTGCACTCCTTGGCCGGAACAGTATCGGAAGGTAATTTTTGCAAAATCATATTATACTACATAATTTGTAATTAAACAGTATAAGTCAAGATAGGGATCATTGACTGAATAACTCAATATGCATATACTATTTATTTAGCTTGGAATCGCATACATGTATTCATATGTTGTGTAGTTATCGATAAATTTCCAAAATATATTTAATTATCATCTTACTAATTATCAGCTAATTTCAAGGATAATTTTAAATTATCGTACATCTTCGTACAGACAAATCCTAAAAGAAAAAGAGTTAAATATTAAATGCATTTTATATTTAGAAATTCAGAGGACATTAAATTAATGGAGTTATATTTTTTATTTGATGGTAGTATACTTTATATATGTATAAGAGAAAGAATTATTTTAATTCAGAAGCAGCAAATCTAGATCACTGAATTTATTAGTCGAATACGTACATGAAAATTAAAATATAGTTGGTTTTGCCGTTTTTTGAGTGTCTTCTGGATATAGTACATGGATCACTGTCAAACTTGCTATTTTATAATATATGGGAACACATCAAAGCTATTGACACTGTCAACTTTGAAGATGTTCTATAGCATTATTACTATTGCTTACACCACACCAAATTAGGGAAGATGATTTTTTTTAAGCCCATTTTGCCATGAGAGACATGCCACCAGCACCCAAAAACACAGCTACGTAAGATTTCAATTGAAGCTTAACGCTACCCTGCAACCTTGGACTCATGAAATCAGCAGAGAGAAGATCAACCAAAGCCATGTAGATTAAAAGACCAGCTGAAGATGCATTCAGCAATCCCACGGTGATTAGTGCACTTGGGCTGTTCTCTTTGTAGGTTGTGGACATTGCAATTCCTAGGGCAATTCCAAATGGGGTTGTAACGGAGAAAAAGAACACCATTATGGCCTTCTTTAAGAACTTGTACTCGGCCTATTGGAAAATTAATTGAAGGGTAATTAATTAATTTAATTTACCATCATCATCACAGTGTAATTGAAGTGGGAATATTATGATCTTATTACCTGAAGAATGCACCCGCCAAGACCCATGCCTTCGAACATTTGGTGGAAGCAAAGGGCGGCTATGAGACCTCTTATGGTGCATGTGTTGTTTGAGGCTCCCATGCCAAGTCCTATCACTATTGAATGAACAACAATTCCAAGTTCTAGTACCTGCATGCATATTTCCAACATCAATTTGCTTAGAATATTGAATTGTTTACTAGCTTCGACTTAACCGTCCATACATTTTCATGTTTAAAGGCTCTTGTGTGAGGGCTTGCTAGAGATGTAAGAGTTGAAAAATCAACAAAGGAAAGGTCTAATATGGTGATAGTTTTTTTTTTTTTAAATTTGTGATCATATTATAGATGTGAAGTATAATTTTTTAATCTCTATAAAAAAAATCTATTTGTTATTTTAGTAGTCTCTCATTTTAACTGTATTTTTCCCTTTATAATAACTAAATCCAAAACTTGAATTAAATAATTTGAATATACTTTTGCTCAAACTTCTTATATGTTAATTACATTTGTAAGTAATCTAGTAGTAGTTTCACTTGATAATATAAAATTTTAAAATACCAAGTAAATATTTAAAATTAATCACACACTAATTAAAAGAGAAAGTCTATGATATCTTCAAAATTTTAATTAAAAGAGAAAATATACCAACTATTGGTAAAAAAAAAAAATTATACAAACACTTGGATCATTTCTGGGTACTACAACTAAAATATGTGAATCATGGCTGGTCCAAAAAGTTTAGATAGACCAAATCACCCTTTTTGGATCATATGATATTGATGTGTGTATAAATTGTCTTTGCATTCATTCTTTAGTTTAGGCCATTTGCATATATTATTGTATTGTTTGAATGATTTTATCATGCATTATCTTTGTTTTATATTACACTTTTAGTTTTCTTGTTTTTCTTTGTAAATAAGTATTTTAGGTGCTTAAATCATTGTTTAAAGAGATCAAGTATCAAGATGGAAGAGTTGAAGTCAGAAAATTCCACAGACAGGTTGTGGGCTTGAGCCAAATGAAAAGAAGAGGAAAAGACAACTCTTATGAATTAAAAAGAAAAAAAGAAAAAGAGTCTAAAAATAAAAGAGGAATAATTAGAAGAAAGAAAAAAACATAACTGATCATCAAAGAAAGGAACGAGTCATCAAGAAGAGATCAACTCACTATCGGAAGATGAACGGCTTATCAGTCTCTTTTGGTTTTTCCTTTTACATTATGTAAAACTAATTTTCTTTTTGTTAGAGTGTATATTGATGTAATATTCTAGATCATAGTCTCTGAACCTTTTCAATTGATGTTTAGTTAATTTTAATTATCTCAGTGTTCTATTCATGTTTTTAATGTTTATTCTATGAATTTTACAATTGAGAAATTGGAGATTGTTTACGATTATATATAGAATAGAATAGGTTTTGTCACAATTGAAAAATTGGGCATATCTAATTAATTTGTGTTTGAGATAATAATTGTTCTTCATGATTCTATTGAATTTCATAATCCTAAGGAATTGGGGATTAGGGTTCAATAAATAAATTTACTTGCCTAAGGAATTAGAGGTAAATTAAACAACTCTTAATAAATTCAAGTGAGTAATTACAATTCTTGCATCAATTGAAAAGGGTAAGAATTTATAGAAAAAAAATATGAAATCAATTCTCTAATAATTTTAATATTGAGTAAATTTTTGTTTAATTTTTATATTCGTTGTTCCATCTATTTTTTAATTGCTTAAAATTAACGTAAATTAGTAATTTAGTATTCAACAAATTCAATCCTGAAAATGAAGACAATAATATTATTACTATAATAATAATTGATACACTTGTCAAACGTGTAACAATGATTATAATCAATCTTCATGTAAAATGTTATAAACTCTTTTCGTACATCAAAAGGTATATGATTACATACCAGCCATAGAGATAATTCTTTTTTTAGTATAACCAGATGTACGAACCATATAATTCTAATTAATCTATACATACCCACGATTAAATTTTATTGATTCTTTTTCTTTCATCTAAATTAAAAAAAAACTTGACTATATATTACACTGACAATAGTATTAAAACCATACATACCTCATACTCGATCTTATAGTAATATATAACAATATCACCAATAGGCCACCACAATTTTGAGATGAGAAACAAAAGTTGTAAACAAGTTGCAAGAGTCAAAAAAATTAATCTTACCATGGCAACAACACGATAACGTAGAAGCTGCTGCCATTCCGTGCCTTCTGCCACCTTGGTCTCTGCAGCATGGTGGTGACCATGAAAATGTCCATAGGTGACAGCACCGATCTCTTGGTCCCCTGCATATAAACAAAGTTACATATCGATAAAATAAAATAAAAAATTAATATTATAAAACACACACAATGATAGAATGATGTTTTTTGTGATTAGCAAAAGTAAAACCATAATAATTTAAGTTTAAAGTAAACCCGTGAATTTATTTTGATATAAGTTTATAAGTGTTTTTTTTTTTTTTTAGTTTTTCTACCGAAAAATACTCTTTATTTTTAATTAAAAAAAACTTTAAAAAACGGTTCAAACTTGGATTCAACGGGCTATCAATGTAGAGATTTCAGTGAATGCTAACACAAAAACCCAATAACCTAACATGTAAACCCACCTGCATGGTTGGTCTCAGCAGCAGGAGTAACCTCAGTCCTAAACTTCTTGGTATAAACACTAGTGGCCAAAGAGTCCACCATCATCGTGATTATCGCAGAAAACATAGCCACGAGCCCCGAAAACGGAAACTCGTGCCATGGTTTCTTCTCCAAGCAATCAGACCCCAACATGTCAAATGAATCAGGAAGCACGTGCATGAACCCCGTGCCAAGAATGATACCAGCTGCGAAGCACTTCACTATTATGAAGAGGTCGTTTTCTGGTCTCAAAGCTGGCACCGAACGTGTCACCAAGGGCAAGCTCACACCGATTACACTAGAGATCAAGATGGTGAAGATTGCTATGATTTTTAGTGGCAGGGCTTTCCTTTTGTTGTTGCAACTGTTTGAAGATTCGGATTCACAATCAGCCACGGCTTGGTGTGTGAGAAGAGTGATGACAATGAAGACAATAAAGATCGTCTTCAAAAGGGTTAGTGAAGTGGCCATTGTGGTTGGTTAAACTGAACAAGGACACTGTTCACTTGTCTACGTAGTTTGCTTTGGATGGAGCTTCTTTATATAGACGCTACGTTTCCCTTGTTGTCATTCAAGAATAATAGTTTATAGCAGCATATGGAAACAATGGCACACTTGATGAATTATTCCACGATGGATGAGTAACACCAACTACAGTGACTGCACAACAGTTTTAATCATAAGAAGGATTAATGTTGTTGGTACAAAATTCAATTAACCGTACAAAATGGGTACTAGTACGGCAAGCATCATCAATTTGTTGCAATGGTGTAATGAAAATAATTTTATATACCGAAATGGGTAGAGAAGTCAATGCATATCACTAAGACATAGCCAAGTGGAAATAATTTACGTCTATTAATATGAATGAACAAAGAATTTGTTGAAGTGTTCGTGGATGGATCATGCTGTCTGTCAAAGTCGTCAGCATATAATGCTTTCTATATTTTTATACCATTGGTTTAAAAATTGTGATTAAAAGAAAAAGTAAACTCTGTGACGTACGAATGTATAAAATATCTGAATTGATCACTTGATGCTGTGTTGCTGTTTGTGATGAGTTCATGGAAGTGGTAGGGCACGGTTCTGTGTCCACTGTCGAATGCTAAGATAGGTCCTTTATCAAGTGTGTACGTAACGGGATGAGTGTAACTAAGGTTTAAGTTTGACTATCCATTTTCTAATTATTTACCTTATTACTTAGAAGTTTATTCGATGAAAAAGTATGAAAAGAAAGTGTTTATAAAATAAATTTATCGCATTAGTTTATAATAAAAAAGTATTCGAACTTATAATTTATTACTATTCTATTTTTGTTCTCAATGTTTTGATAAAATTTCTAATTTACTTCCTCTTTAATATAACATTGTTTATTTTAATAAAAAATAATAATTAAGAAGAAGTAAATTAGAAATTTTATTTATTTTTAACAAAATATATTTGCTTTTCAAAAAAATGATGACTTTTAAATTTAATTAAAAATATAAATCATGATTACACACACATATATATTTACAATAAAATTAGCATTTATATAAAAATATTATATATATATATATATATATCAACAATACACTCGTTTAAGTACATTTTTTATTTGTTAAACTTTATTAGATATCACAATTATTATTATTATTATTTTTTGAGTTTTACTTCTTATTCAATGAATTGCACTTGTAATTTTGTAAGTTTGAATAAATTTTAATTAATAACAGAGAATGTGTCCGAAAGAGTTGTTGAAAAATGTATGTGTAGCTATAACATTCTTCAAAATCATATAAAATGGTCCCTTTTATATTATTTTACATTTTCAACTTGTTCAACAACTATAAGTTTACCAAACATTTTAAACTTAAAAAGCTAACTACTGAATAGTTTTCAATTAATGAATTTAAGTTAAAAAAAAATAGCTTTACAACTTTCAAATAACAAATAAATTATTTTACCAAATTAACATGACCAATATACGGGCTTAATTAGTCAAGGGTTAAAATCAATGGTTCAAAAGATCAACAGAAATTAAATACTGGTTTAATAAAATTGTTTTGCAAAATTTTAGCATGAAATTTATCGAAATATGTTAAAAATTAGTCAATATTCAAAGACTAATATATTTCCAAACATTAAGATTATTGAAGTGGATTTTAACTCTTTCAACATAGCATTTTCATACATGTATAGTTAGAACTAATTAACTTAAATCATGATCAACTTTTCATAGGACCCAACTATAATCTATTAATTACACCAAATTGTGTTTATAATAAGCTAAAAATAACAAAATCATAAAACACTTTTATAAACATAACTCAAACACCTATGTAAATTTCAAACTAAAATAAATTTGATTAAGCTTTGTAAACTCTTCCAAATACATACCCCTTATTCAGATTTAGCACTACTCATCCATTTTAAGTTTTACTTTATTCAATAACTCATATTTTATATCAAATTTTAATGATTAAATTATTAAATTAAAAATGTTTAATGCATAAATTAACTGTAAATTTAAAAAATAAAAATAAAAATTATTTAATATTTTATTTTATTAATTCAGAATGACAAATAATCATTAAAATATTTTATACATTAATTTTAATTAATGAAACAAAGTATCATATAGTTTTTAAGTTTTTTAAAAAATTATATACTTGGTGTATACATTAAAGACTTTTAATTTAATGGATTGATCGTTAAATTTTGATATAGGACATAAATTATTAAATAAAGTAAGTAGGTTGTTCTCTCTCTCTCCATATATATTATATATATATATATATATATATATATATATATTACACTTGTGTCCTTAGTTTAACAATGTGTAGTAACCCAATTTCGTCCGGAAAATATTAATTTTGTTCTTAAAAAATAGAGAAAAAGGTATATACAAAAAAGAATAAAAAAGACAAAAATATAGAAGCCAAATGTAACACCTCAATTTTAATACTTTTGTGGAGGGTAATTTAGTAATTTTCATATGATTTAGTCGCCCAGAACGGGCCATTCCAAAACTAGAATGGGTCGTTCCAACCTTCCAAAAAAGACCTAAAATTTCTAGCCCGGAACGGGCCGTTCCAACCTTCCAAAAAGACCTATAAATTCTAGTCCAGAATAGGCCGTTCCCAAACTGGAACGATCCGTTACCAAACTGAAACGGGCCGTTCCAATCTTCCAAAAAGAACTTTAAATTCTAGCCCAGAACGGGCCGTTCCCAAACTACCAAAATACCTATAAATTCTATCTAAGAACGGACTGTTCCCAAACTGGAACAGGTCGTTTCAAAAGTGGTCGTTGTGAGTAAAGATGCAACCCCAGAACGGTCGTTCCGGATTCAAAACGGGTCGTTCCGGTCACTCCTGAAAGTCTATAAATAGCGGCCCTTGGCCTTCCCAAAGACACACATCTCCACTTTGGACCAGAGAGAACCCAGAGGAAGAGACCAGTAAATTACCACTTCTTTAGCGAAGAATTATGAGTATATTAAACTCACTTCTTTTTATTTTTTATTTTCTGTTTATATTAGTAATATTTGTCATTAGTCCTTATTTAAATTCAAAATATGATTAAATTTCAAAATATAGTATTAGAATATTCAATATAAATATTTGAAGTATTTGTATCAAAATTTTATTGGAGGAATGGTTAATTAGATGTGACATCTTTTTAACCTTTGAATTTAAAGTACAAGTTGTGACAACTTATCTTTAAATTTTTTCTCCAAAAACAAAAATGCCCTACCAAGAAATTTTTTAAGATCATAACATCTATAGCAATAATTATAATTAAAATTTTATTGAATTTACTTTGGTGTACACCTTAGTCAATTTTATATTTTTAAGGTGAATGAGCTGAGACAGTTCAAAAATCTTATATTTATCAAAAATAAAATTTAGTTAAAAAATATCAACACAAATATTTTTCACAAAGAACTACGTGACTCTGATTCTTCATTACCTATGAAGATACGTACGAGTAAGAAATAAATCTTGTCGAGCCAAAAAATAAAAAATATATTATTTTCCTTTTTATATAACAATAATAATTTTAACTTTTTTTTAATGCATTAGTTAAATTAGTTAAATAAAATATATTTAATCATTTTAATGAGATAAATATTTTATAAATTATAATTAATTTGTTTAATTAATTAAAGGTAATCGTCTTAGGACGAGCGTTGTGAGGTGCTAATACCTTCCTCACACATAATCGACTTCCGAACTCAAAAATCTGGTTTTCGTAGACTATTTTCTACTTTATGTTTTTTCCAATGTTTTTCCGTAAAAAATAACATTGGTGATGACTCCCTAATTTTTAATTTATTTTTTCGTCGTCCCGTCGCGATCTCGGTTGCGACACAATGTTTAAGAAATCATTCTCTAGCATTTGTAGAAGTTTTATTAGATTCCCAAGTTGATATATATTTTGATTAGATTAAATTAAAATTTTGCTCTACGCATTTGATATCATTTTTGTTTTAAACTCTAAATAAAAAAAAAATGTCCCTTTATTTTAGTCCATGCATATAGAAAGTTCTGTGATTTCTATGTGAATAACAACTTGAAATCTAACGAAAACTAATTTGTAAATATTTCATATAAAAGCCGATCAAAAAGAACAGTGTCATATGTGTGGAGTGAATTATAAATTTAACCTTAAATAAGGTAAAGAAATTGAAAACAAGCATTTTCTAACCAAACTCTATAAAGAAAAATACAAAATAAAAAAAAATTACACAATACATTAATAATTGAATTATGTTTGACTGCTAATTAGAAAAAGTTATAGCCTAATAAATTAAATGGTACCAAAATATTTGTAGTTTATCCTTTTTGCACAGAAATTATATTTTAATGATAAACATGACTCATATGGACATTATAATATTTGAACTGAGTTGTAAAATAAAGTTCAATATGAATATATATTGATAAAGCTATGATTGTTAATTTGGATCTTGTCAAATGAATAAGATCAAATAACTCGCTAATAAGGTTGAGTTAAAAAAAAATATGCTTTAAATAAAAAGCGAGACTTTTTAGTTTGATGGGTTTCAGACTCGTCCAATGACTAATATAATATATATATATATATATATATAAAAGAATAAAAAATAAACAATATATAACAATTATAATTTTAAGTAATTAAAAAATAAAAGTTAAAAACTAATTAAAAGTATCGAGAATTATTTTATTTTTTTAAAGACATATTGTTGAGAGATTTTTTAAAATGCCAAATACTGTTTACAGAACAACCGGACATGTTCTTTGTTAGATCAAAGATCGAATTAGGACCTCTCAAAATCTTTGTTTTAATGATACCAATCGAAGTCATTTTTTGTAAGGCATATAGAAAGACAATTATAAGATAATGTCGCATAAAAACATATCAAATTAAGTCTTATGGATGTTCATATATCATATTGAATATATCGTCTCATAAACAAATGTATTTATTATAATATTTAATATGTCTAGTATTCTTATCATATATTTTCAATGTATAATTTCACATCAAAAGGATAAGAACTTGCTGAAAAGATTATCAAAAGATTAAATTTACTTTTCATAAGACAAAGGACAAAAAAGATTCTTTTACATACAGGAAATGAAATGAAAGTCGTTTTGGATGGATACACATCAAATAAGTGACCATTC